TAGAAAGTTGAATGATTCATATATTTTACGCTTAATACGACTTGATGTATTGTTCCATGAAATAACAAAATTATTTACTTTAAATCTTTAAAAAAATAAAAAAAAATAGAAATTTTTTTTTTTAAAAAGTCTCAAATTTTTTTTTTTAATATCTTTTCTCTAGAAAGCCAACACGATAACGAAAATAAAGGATTTATTAAGAATCATTAATTTTATTTCAATTTTTGAAAAAAAATTACTTCATTTTAAAAATATCGTTTTTCATATGCATTTTTTCCCCTGGATTGTTTCCTAATGAAATTCGATTCCCACATTCTTGTATCTGTTTTTTTCTTTTTTTCCCCCACTTACATATTACCATAAAATTTAATGAGGAAAACTGAAAAAAACGAACAGCAAATAAGTTATTATTATTATTATGACGAATAAATAGGTCCTTGTGATTATTATTTTTGGTCATTAGTTTAAATAAATACTACGAAAATACATTGAAAATATTTTACTCATTGCGAAAGATTCTATTTTTTCCTATAAATCTCCCTCTGACCGGATGAAATACTTTTTCCCATCTGTAAGTGGATAAGTGTCGGTATCTTTGTTCGGCTCCAGGTAAACGATGACTTTCATGAGGAAGTGCCTATGGTGATTTCTCTGAAGTGGTTTCAGGGACTTTTCATTCATGTAATTCTCGAAACAGTTACAATCAGGGTTTACGACTAGAAGCATACAGTCGCCATCACCAGGTGAGATCGGGACGAACTAGGAATTCTCTTTATTTGTCTTCTAGTGATGGATTGTTTTACAAAGTATTTACTACTCTACCTTTCTAAAGATGTTTCACCAAAGGATGAAATTTTGCTTATAACAATATTACAGGCTTGCTTATACTTTAGAGCAGTGGTTTTCACGTGGTGTTCCACGTAACTTCGAACATTTTTAAAACAATTTTTTTTTTCCAACGTTTTTGAAGCTTGTAATTTTATTTAGATCCAATCCAATAATACATTATTTACTCAATATTTAGGTAGCCTTTACGATATTATTTAAAGCAAAATGCCAAGAAAAAAGAAATGGCTAATTTTTTTTGAAGAAAAAAAAAAATGCATAATTTTTCAAATAGCAATGTACTGTATAAATTATGAAAAGGACATGAATCTATAAAATACTTTATCAGTACTTGAATCGCACTTAACAAACCGAAATTAAATAACTCGATTGATAAACAAGAAGCATGTTTCCCTACTACATTTTCAACCTTTATAGCAGTTCTTTTTAGTTTTCACTACTGCGTAAAAAACTATCTATTTCATTCATTTTCAACTTATGTCAAGCACCAAAAACAAATTCATAACAAAACTAGATACAGCTCCAGGACTGTGAATTCTACTGTCGGATACAAAATCTAAATTAAGATTATTAATTATAAAACAGTGAAAAAATGTCATTTTTCTCATTAAATATTTTCAAAATACGGTAAAATTTTGTAGCTTAATACGTTCACAATTATCTTTATATACTTCATTTATAAAGTCGCGGTTTCGTTTGTCATTTCGTTAATCATTTTGATTTTCACAGTCGTAAAAAATTGGGAACCGATGCTTTAGGATCCTTAATCTTGATCTTTAAATTTCATTTTAACTGATGACTGAATGAATTAAAAAAAATTAACAAATTAATTTAAAAAAAATCGTTAAACTTGATATAATTCGAAATATCAATACTTCATAAATATTTTTTTTAAATTATTATATAAAGCCAACAGACACACTATAGTTTCGTTTCTATACTGAAGAGCCTTCATCCATGTCCCAAAACAAAATAAAACAGAGAAACATAGAGATGTAAAAGCAGCGAGAAATGCACTTCACCTGTCTTTCCCTTTTTCATTTGGTATTTCGACACTGTAGAAGGCAATTCCTTATGGACCAAAACATATTATAGATTGTCTTTGAATTGTTTTAGATTATATGTTAACTTGTTACAGGTTAACTTGTTATAGGTTGTCTTTAAATTTTTGATTCAATTTCTCTCAACTCAGATTTTTTATTTCCATCAAATCAGTCAAGTTTTACGTCTAATATAAGACTTCAAAATAATAGTTTTATCGCAATATCAATAAGAATATGGTCGGATTGTTACATTTTTATTAAATTTAATTTACACGCATTCAGAAAATATTTTATTAATAACAATTATTAAAATTCCCTTTTTGATTTATTAATTAATGTTCATTTATTTATTTTTCCGTATGGTAATTCGTGTCTAGTCCATATTTCATTTAATACATCTACTCTATGCCTCATTTTCTTTCAATTTTTCCAAACGAGACAAACATCTCCAGACAAGAATTTTTTTTTCCCCTTTTAATAATTTCCCGGTTGATATCAAAACAATATTAACTTGCACAATATTATTGAAAAAATTGAGGCCTTAGCGCTAAACAAGTACTGAATTTTCAAAATAATAATATCCAGCTCTATTGTTTATGCAAACGCTCTCAACTCAAGTTGAGATGTTTACATCTCTGCTTAGGGGGGAGGGGTAAAAAAAAGCTGATATCAGCATCCCCCTCTTTGTACCTGAGATTAGATTAATAGCTCCTTCTTACACGCGCTGAAGCACCTATTGAGCGCTCCCCTGTCCCCCACTTCCAAAAGGTGGGGAGCAGTATCTCTTCCTAGGATCAGCATGTCTTCCCTAAACTGACAACCATTTCAGCTTTTCTGCGAAATTTCAGTAAAGAAATTTTTGTTGGTGCACCTCTGTCTTCACACCCATGAATTCGGATGAGAGAGAAGATGTTTATTTATGTTTACCAGCGTATAATATTCTTGGCGTTCCATCTTATTTGGCATATCAGGTCGAGACATCTATGTTTTATTCAATTTAGTTATTTTCATATTTAGGTTTCTTTTTTAGTTCGCTGCTAAAGAGTACTTATTCGAAATTGACGTGACCTGCTATGTCCTGGATCCAATTTCCAATTATATGCGGGTGTTTGTTTACTATTTGAAAACGAAGAAATTTGTTGTGTTCAGCTGTTCAGATTAAAAGAAAAATAGGTTTTATAAATCTAGTCCTTTTTTTCCCGTCCGTAGTTAAATTAAAAATACAGGTTAAATAAACTATTATCGAAATTAAAAGTCATTAACTGCCAAACATTTCGTTATATACCATTACTTATAAGAAAGTTAATGGTATTTATCGGTTAATGATATCTCACATCAGTTTCAGCTAAAGTGCGGTTCATTAGCATCCAACCATAAAAAAATTTTTGAAAAAGATTATCCAGCAAAAGTTGAGTTGTCAGGTTAATACTTGCTTTATCTTTAGCAAACAATTTTTCGAAATGATCGGTTTCGAATGATTCGATTTTGGGCCGGCAGACGATACTTTACAAGATTTCTGGAATTTTGAAATAATAAGTTTAATAGATATCAACTCTATAGCAAACGAAAAAAATAAAAATTATTTTAAAAAAATGATGGCATGTTAAAGTAATAGTCAAAGTTTGAAAATGCAAACAATTATTTAAGGGGTAAAATTCAAAAAGATGGCGCTGTATGCAATCATAAGTCCTTTTTAACGAATGTAAAATTTAAATTTAAAGTAATAGAAAGAGAAGAAAACTGTCATTTATCATATCCTTATAACGACTATTTGTATTATGATCTTTTTACAACGTCTGTTTCTTGTACGCATATTATTAAACAGTTGTAACGACAGTTTCTTATAATTGCCTAATTATATCGCTATTACAACTATTGTTTATAATTGGGCCATTATTTCGTTATGATGACTGTTTTTCTTAATGCGAAATACTTGGATTTCAATTTTATAGAGATGTCCTCGATATTGTCTAAGTTCTCTATGTATTGAATTTTAGTAATAGTTAAAAAACTGTCCGACAACCATTTAAGTCACACAAACCACCATGAGTGTGAATGCGGGACATTAAAGCATCGTAGGCTGCAGAAATAGAAATATTAAAAATATTTCTCTTTCTGCCGGGAGAAACGATAAAAAACCAGTTTTTTTTATTTTTTTATTCATTTATTTTTTTTATTTCTACAATCATTTTAGAAAGGATCAATAATAAGTATAAATAATTATTTCGTAACCAAATTTTTATTTCTATAAAAATACAAAAATATTCTTATATCATGCGTAACATATAACTAACTATTCAACACTACCCGAACTATCACTTAGGACTACCTAACAAAATGAATCTAAATAAATACGTGACGTATAACTCATTATTTAACACTACTGTAATTATTTATTACTTAAGACAATCTAACAAAATAAATCTAAAACAAATACTTAACTTTCTTCCTCTTTCAAAGCACTACAGCTTTTCACAGTTCAAGGCCGCCCCAAGTAGTCTTTGCCATCCTAACAAAATATATTATAGACGACTTTAGTGTTGCTTGCGGGAATCGAACACTGGTCCTGGGTTTAATCTGGGGCCGGGCAAGGTTGACTCAGCCTTGCATCCCTTCAGTGGATCGATAAAATGAGTACCTTGCATGCTTTGGGACTAAACACTGAAGGTTCCGCGTTCGGTTGACCACCGAACATCTGTGCAAGATCAAGAAAACTGAGATGGGCACAGTAGGCCTTGGCCCTCTTTGGACTGTCGCGCCACTGAATTTAGAAGTTGTAGTTTAATTAAGTTAGTGTTGCCAATTTAAATAGAGAAATACACTCGTTTTTGGTGCCACATAAGAGGAATATATATATAGATGACGACTGTTTCTTAATAGTTTATCGTTATGTCGTTATAATGACTGTTTCTGATAAGTGCGTCATTATATCGTCAGAGAACGGGTTTGTACACGCTCTACTCGTTATAATGATCGTTTTGCATAAAATGTATTTTTATATCGTTATATTGACAATTTCTTTATAAGTGCATTATTATATCGTTTATAATGATATGTTTAAGTGCATCGTCATATCTTAATAATAAACATATAATTTTTCTTTCTTCCTAGGCCTTGCAGTCCGAGTAGACCGGAGGCTGTGTCGTTTCAGAAAAAGCATCACCTATGGGGCGACGACAACTATCGGGTTTTCATCATGGAAAGTCCTGTCCATTTCACAATGGGTGTACAAAAACAGGACAGACATTTATTCTTATTCAATGATCTGCTGCTTGTGGCCAAGCCGAGATCTGGTGGCACATACAAACTAAAAGAAAAAATACGCATGAGCGAGATGTGGTTATCGCAGTGTTTAGGGGATGTATGCGAGTCCATTAAATCACCAGCTACGGCATTCGTTATTGGGTGGCCAACAACGAACGTCGTTGTCACTTTTAGGTAAGAGAATTTTCATCATACTTTTTATTTTTTAACCGTTGTTGAACCCACTTCTTTGGGTTTATGACTACCAATGTTCCACCAGTCCGTAGCCTTGTAATTTTGAACCCAATACAGAAGAAAGGGGAGAGAGATTTGCCTTCCTGGAGGACTTTTTGATGGAACTAACCCTCATTTGCGTTACACGGTGAGGAAAATCACGGAAACCTCCCACGGTTAGCCTGACGGTAAGGGGACTCTAACCCATGAACCGCCTACCACTGAGGATACTTTACACCAGTCCCTCACACAGTAGAGTAATTTATTATTTAATCATTGAAAGAGTGCTACAGTTTTATGTATCGAAATTTTAATTTACATGGTTTCTCGAAGCACTTTCGCCAACCAAAATATTTTTAAAAAAAAAACACACAGTTTAAGTGCCTTACACTTGCAGCAAAGCTATAACTTTAAAACTATATATGACATCCTGCCGTGAAGAATTATCTAGACAAACAAATAACTTAAATTTTTAAAAGTTTTTAAACTTCTTTTTATTAAAAAAAATCGCCAATTTGTCGATATTTCGAAACAAAAATTAAAATTATCAAAATCAATGCCTTATTACTTTGTTTTGCAAGTTTTTATAAACCATGCAGAATCGGAATAAGTTTTAAAACGTTTAAAAATTAGACCAGAAGCGCTTTTTTCAATTTCTCAAATCTGTAACTTTTCTCCATGTTGACTTTTCCCGCCATTTTAAGAACTAGCACAGGCGCGATGGCTAAAGAAAAGCTAAACTCTTGTAATTATTTGAATCCTACATAAAACTCCTCAACGTTTTCCTGGAAAACTAAAATTTCTATATTTTTGATCCAATCATTAATTGCAAATTCGTCTTAAATCTTAGTTTGCAGAGCAAATCTCTTTGTCTAGGCTCAAAAAAAGGCGATAAAACTTGTCGCCATCCAATTTACTTATTAGATACTTAGCTGTCTGAAAAGATAAAAAGATTTCTTGCGCTAATCCCGCGAAATCCGATCGCCGAGTGCGAAAAGCGACTTTGCAGGTATCCGTCTTTGCGGTACGGATACTTTCAATTTTGCCGATATCGCTTTTGATGTATCGGATGCAAAGGAAACAGCTTACTCATTATGATGAAATTTAATGTGTGTACTGTAAGAGTTTTTGAACAATAATTACCACTCAATTTTTTTTTCCAACCTTAATATCCGTAATATAATTCCCATCCTTAATATTCGAATCCGAAAGGTGACTGGTTGATACGAATTCTGCTTCCAACTTGCACAGACCACGGTACTGATGTAAATAATGCTCAGTAGATTAATATTCTCTTGCCGTTCGGCTAAACATGGGAGATTTTCGTGTTTTTCTTCTCCGTGTAACGCAAATGCTGATTAATTCCATCAAACAGTCCTCTACGAAGGCTGGTTTGTCCCAATGTTTGATCCAGAAGTTCCCTTGTTTTCTGGGTTGGGTTCAAAATGACAAGACTGCGGATTTGAACATTAATAGTCGCAAACTCAGCATAGGATCGGCTGTCCAACGTGGTTTATAAAATTAAATATATATTGTAAATGGTTATGACGCTATTGGAAGTATTAAAATCTTAATTATCAATGTATTACATAGGCAATAGAGTAGAAACTTCTTTACGGGTTTAGGGGTTAGTTAAAACGAGTCTTAAATATTTTACAGAAATTTGAAATACTTTATGCGACTTCAAAGTGTAAATATTAGGCAATTATCTTTTACAGAATCCCCCCCTTTTTGTTAAAAACACAGAAATAATTTATCGTAAATTTTTTAAGATAAATCTACGAGTCTATTTATATAAAAAAAAAATCTTTTCAACGAGACAAATATATGATTTTATATTTTACTAAATCGACCACATTCCGAACTAATTGTATTCCTATTAGTTTATCTAATCTGTGTAGACAAAAGCTTAATGGAATGTAGACATTATATACCTCAAGTAAATAATAACAAAAATAATTGTTTTACGCATTTTTTTTCCTATTTTATTCAACGACACAGTGACCCAGTGTCGGGGTGTAGGTGGTACACACGAGACAAATTCTTCAGCAAAGCGATTACAAAAATGGGACCCACTAATCGGAATTCTTATAGTAAATAATGAAAAATAGGCTCCCTTATTTTTAAAAATGCCAATCTTCCTATCAAAGAACAACTAAATAAGAGATAGGAGAATCGTTTATAAGGAGGTAGTCGGTCTGTCGGGAGTCTTGTCTTGATATCTCTTAAAAGATTCTCTTCTTCCTGACTAACAAAAGAATTTTTCCTAGAGTTCGTAGGGAAGATGTATGTAAATATTCTTACCGATTTCCTTAGGAGACATTTTCCCGCATTCCAAATTTTAAAAAAGAGTATTTTTTTTTCATGCAGTTTGAATTTAAGGACTCTTTTTTAATAATATTTTTTAAAAATTGAATTTGTAAATCACCAAAAAGTTATTATTTTACTTAGTAAAAAAATTCTTTTTGTCAATACACCAACGTTTTATGTTTAGTTTATAATTTATTTTTAATGGGAGTTTACATAGCTAAATTTATCCTTAAGTTCGTAGGAAAGATTTATTCCTTAGGGCCTTTCCTTTCTGATTTTCCTCGGACGGCATCTAAGAAAACTCTTTTTTAAAAAGACTTAAATAAAATTGAATTTGTAAATCACCAAAAAGTTATTTCACTTATTAAAAAAAATCTTTTTGTCAATACACCAGCATTTTAGGTTTAATTTACATAATTTTTTTTAATGGGGGTTTACATAGCTAAATTTTTCCTCTAATTTGTAGGAAAGATTTATTCCTTGGGAGTTCTCCTTTCCGATTTTCCTCAGGCGGCATCTTCATGCATTTTGAACTTAAAAACACTTTTTTACTAATATTTTTAAAAAATTGAATTTATAAATCGCCAAAAAGTTATTATTTTACTTAGTAAAAAAATTCTTTTTGTCAATATGCCAGCGTTTTAGGTTTTGTTTAGAAATTTTCTAATGAGAGTTTATATAGCTACATTAAGTTCTAGGAAAGATTTATTCCTTAGGAGTTTTCCATCCCGATTTTTCTCAAGAGGCATCTTCATGTATTTTGAAGTTTCTCGAATTCGAATATTTCCTGACAATAAATAGCTGTTTTTTTTATACAGCAATAAGATATTTTTAAGTAATATCCTTGAATCAATCAATGATATAAAGACAGCTAATAAAAAAAATTTCTAGCGAAAAAAAAAATGCAAAAAGATGCAATTTAATCCGTTTTGTATTAATAATTCTTTCGTATTCTAATGATCGAAAATAGTTATTACTACTTGCACTCTGAAAAACTATTAACCCTATAAGAAATATTATACTTAATTTTAAAAAGTCCGAAAATAGGTAAATATAATATCTTAAATAAAAACCATCTGAAACAGTTTAAAAAAAATAAAACCCTATTCTCACCCAAAAAAAAATTACTTTTTTTAAAAATAATATTTCTTTCTTTATTTATTTTTTTTATAATTATAATTGTTAATAATGAAAGGTGTAAATGAACTTTTAGATATTTATTATAATAACTACTTATAGCAATTTTTTATATTAAAAAGCATTACTTATTCGCTAAAATAAATCTTTTAATAAGGTTAGTTTCTGTCCTAACCTTATCATAACCACCTAGAAACGTTAAAAATTTCGCTCATTCCTAACTGCATTTGTCATGGAATATTTTTAATATTCAGTCATCATTTTCCCACGCATATTCTACGTTATTATAATAGAATTTCACTACTATAGATCCATCAATGTATGAGAACAACACTTCTTAAAGGTGGTATTTTCCCAAAATATTCTTATCAATTGAAATTCGTAATTTCTAACTCTTCAGGGGTTCTTTTCCTCTGTCTCAAAATTTCAACTGCTTCTGTTCTCTGAACAAAGCAACAATACAGTCCCGTTATTCAGAAATTTGCAATATCACGATTAGCCTTATCCTCACTCCAATGCAAAATAGATATGTAAAAGTTGAACTGAGTCACACTTGCATTCCAAAGTTCGATGTCGCGGGTGAAGAAAACGATACGTGTGGAAGGGAGGGTTCGACCTTTCTATCCAACCCACCAACCCTTCAGGGATTTGACAGATCCTCTCCGACCCCCTACCCTACACCTGTAACAACAGAGGGGGTGCCTTCTTTCTTCAGTTTGTGGAGGTGTTTCTTCCTGGATGCACTGCTCTCCGGAGAGAAAAAATAAAGGAAGAAGTTTGTGATTCAAGTTGACTTATTCTCTATGTTGTGCTACTGACTCCTTATAACTTGTGGATATATTTTGGTGCTTTTTTTAAAACATGCATTTTACAAGTCCTCCGTTTTTGAAGATTAGAAGCTATTTTAAACGGTAAAGTTATTCGCATAATATATATATATATATTTCTTTAATTACCAAGCAGTTTAATTATTATAAAAAATTGTTATAATACGTGACTACGTAGCAAATCATCTTGCTTTGTTTATTTATTACAATTGCTTCTTGAAACAGTTTGTTACTGTTTTATAAACCAGGTAAATCTCTTAGTTAACTTTTTTTTAAAATTATTTATAGATTTTTAATTATTATTGTTTGTTTGCTAATTAATTTCGGGAAAAATTTAGTAGAATCCAAGAAACAAGACATTAATTTACTTGATTAAAAACCTCATTCGCTTCAGACATATATAAATAGGAATTTATAAATTTTTGAGGAGGATATTTCCTATTTATATATATATTTTTAAAGCGAATAAAGTTTTTTTTAATTTAGCAATATCTTACCTCTTCAGTTTCTTGGGATTATTTATTTTAAGACATTAATTTGTTTATTTGTTGCTGTTGTTTTCTTAAAAGATTTCAAGTATTACTGTTTTGTGATCTAGAAAAAAGATCTCACGTAATTCTTATCATTTTAAAATATGAATATATTATTAATTATTCTTAATTAGTTGAATAATCAGTTATGTAAATTAATCAGTATTATATGTGCTTAAACATATTACTTAGCATATTTATTATTTTCTCTAAATATTTTTTTTTCTATATTGTAAAATTAAAAAAAATATTTTTCTTAATTATTAATGGATTATAAACGGTAAAATTATACATATGTATTTTTTTAATCAAAATTCAGTTTAATTATTCTAAAACTTGTTATAATACGTGACTAAACAGTAGTTGCTTCTTTAAATAGTTTGTTACTGTTTTGAAAACTAGGTCAATGTCTTACTTAATTAACTTTTTAAACTATCAATAGATTTTTAATTATTTTTATTAGCTAACTAAATTTCTGAAAATAGTTTAGTAGAGTTTGCTACCAAGCAACACGGCATTAATTTATTTGTTTGATGCAGTTGTTTCGTAAAATTTTGGGGTATTACTGTTTTTCGGTTGAGAAGAAAGATTTCACATAATTCTTATCATTTTAAATTAGGAATCAATTCTTATTTATTATAATTGTCCAATAAGTTTTGTAAATTAAACAATATTATCTGAGATGAAACTTATTACTTAGAATATTTATTATTTTCTCTAAATAAATTCGTAACTATTCTTATTTATTTTTATTGGTTTTCTGCAGTTTCTATTAACTTGTGTGACATCGCTGCGCAATAAGTTTATCGATATAAATACATGAAATAATTTAACATCAATTATTAAATTTCGGTTGGTTTATATTTTGTGGGTTACTCTACATGAGTGATTACGTTGCTATGTTTGAATAGGCAACAAATGATTGTGTTGGATTGTTAGACCGTTCAAATGTTAAGTAATCATGTTTTTTGGAAATTTCAATCCCCCTTGTTGTCGAAACAAGCTTAAATGGACTCCTTAAAATTTTGATGCCTTTTATTTTTAACATTTTTATAAATTTTAATTTAGCTTCTTATGCAGGTTGTTTGCTTGCTAATGAGGGGGCTTACCTATTGATTTATATTTGCAGTTTTTGTAGATAATGTGCTTAGGTGATTAAATTAGAAAATCTTTGACATTATTCTGCCAAATATTTTTTGCTTAGATACGAAATTTTGTTGTTGTTTTAATAATAATTTATTACTTATTATTACTTGTTTTGCTAGTTATTTATTGCCTATTATTACCTGTTTTGAGAATAATTGATTGCTTATTATTATTTGGGGGGGGGGGACTTAAAATTGTTAATGTTTAGAAACAATTGTTTAGATTTTAATGAAAAGTTCATTATCTTCACCATCTTATCTTTTGTATTGATAAATGGATTTGTTTTAAACCAGAAACGTAATGGATTTGTTTAAATGGATTTTGAATTTGTTAAATAGTATCTCTTTTCATTTTTTCTTTTAAAAAAATATCTGAAAATATAGTATGATATCGTTAACATGAATTGCTTTTAACGCGATCTGCACTTTTATTTTCTTTTTCAATCTAACAATTAGAATCAATTTTTTCCTATTGTCATATTAATGAGAAGAAAAAAAAGATAAAGCAGTTAATAGGCGAATGTTATTAATTAAACCACGAGCTTAATTCAAATAAGTAGTGTAACATTTTTAAGCGTATTTGTGCTCGTCCACCTTTGGTTTCTTGTTATTTGTTGATTTAAAATAATGTTCTATTGTCTAATTTTTGAAACCTTCTCAACGGAAATCCGCTCTTACAATTAAGTCACATGCATTCAATAAATTTGTAATTTCAAGCCAATAATGTAAAAGTCGAAATTTTTCAATAATATTTTAAAAATGAGAAATTAACTGTAAACCCTCTGTAAAAAATATTGCCTGGAATTTTTTTTATTCTTTTACTTGAAACATTTTAAAATTTCATAAATTATGTATTATTTTTAAACTATGTATTATAAAATACTTTTTGACTACAAGTACCGAGTATCGTAATGAATTAAAATATAAATAAATAAATAAAGGGGAAATGAGTTATGATACTATGTTAAAATCGGAACTGAAAATTGAAAGTATACAAGGAAAATTCATCTGAAAAATTTTGTTTGAATCAATATCAGAATACTAAAATTTTATTATTAATCTCTTAAATGAGTTCTCATTTAAAACAATATTTCATTTCTGTATAACATTTAACGTTTTTAAATTTGAAATTAAAATTTTTCTAATTTATTATACTTATGTTTGTAACATTTAACAGTTTTTTATATTTTCTATGGAAAGTACGAACTATTTTATACAATCCCGCAACTATCGATTTAATTGCATTCATTATTTATTGGGAAATTATATATATATTTTTTTTATAAAAATGTACAGGAATTTCAAACTTAAGAAACAAATGATTTAACTCATAATTAATCCCACTATATTGAATTCATTAAATTTAAATGGAGCCTTTCTTTTGTATTTTATCGTTTTAATTCAGGAATTTCGGCTGTTTTATTTAGTATAAAATGCCGCCCAGAAAGTTATTTAAAAGATAAGTTATTTACTAACATGCTAACATTATTACGAATTACATTCATTATTTAAAGCGATGTGATTTTTTTTAAATAACAATGTGCAAAAATTTCAAAATTTAAAAAAAAAGAAAAAATTAGAAAAAAAAATATGCAACTCATGAATAAACCCACTATATTGAAATCGTCAAATATAAAAGTAGGAACTTTTTCTGATTTTCCTGTTTTAATTCAGGAATTTTCCTGCTATATTTAACATAAAGCCGTCCGTGGAAAGCTTTAAAAAATTAGGTATTTACTAATGCACAACTATAGCGAATTACATTCAATTTACCGAATTTTGATACTTGAATGAAAGCATTTTTTTTTTTATTTCAATTAATGAAGATGTCGAACTTAATTTTTTTTTTCATTTAGAAATTGAGATGTTGCCGTAATCGTTTGATAAAATATCGTTTATCGCATCTAGTTAGTAAATATAAGATAGAGACAAGATTTATATACTGCACGAACAGGTGATTGTCGAAGTTTTCAAGGTTAGTGCTGTCAACAGACCACACACCGTGCTCTAATGACTTATTAAATAACCCTGTTTCAAAATCAGGCTTACTAATGAAAAGTCTCTTTGTTTCAATATCCTCTAATTTATTCCTTATTATTTTTGTTAAGCAGGCATTTTGTTATTTCTAAATCGAAGTCTTGAATTTTTGTTTTTCTGTTGCGTCATTGATATCTGCATCATGATAGAATGAAATATATATATTTTTTTTTCAAACCCATGATTAGAAATATAAATTAATGATTCAATCCATTGACAAAATATTTAATTTACCACTCTGAGTCATTAGGGAAATTCGTATAATTAGAACGGTTCTCGTTAGTTTCTCTAGATTTTTTCATTACTAAATTTCATTGGAAAATACGCATTATCTATTTTTTTTTTTCAATATGTGCTTGTTTTGCGTATATGCCTTTGTAATAAATTTGTGACTCGGTTAAGATGATGCTGTACCACGGGGAAAATAATTCATGGAAAAATCTATTTTCAAATCTATAAGTAATTCAACTAAACTAAAATCTATAAGCAATTCAAAGTTCAGAAAAAAGTGACTTCAGATTAACCTAGTGTTCCGCTTCCGTCTCGCACCGACCACAATGCTGAAATAAATTATCCTCAGTGGTAGACGGATATAGGGTAAGAATCCTCTACCGTCGGGCTGACTGTTGGAAGCTTTCTTGCTTTTTCACCCCATGTAACCCGAATGCTAATTAGACCTTTATGAAGGCTAGTTTGTCCCAATGCTTGATCCATGAGTTCCCTTATCTTGGTTCAAAATTACAAGGCTACGGAGTTGGACATTGGTAGTCGTAAACTCAGAATTGGATCAGCTGTTCAACGCTGATTATAAAAATAAAATTAAGAAAAAACCTAGTCTAAACCTTAAAATTAAAGCTGATTTTTTTTTTTAAATATCAAAGTGCTAAGACAATCATTTTATTCCAACGTTCAAAACATCATTTTTTAAAAATTAAAATCTGGCGTTTGTAGTTTCATTCAATGTGACACAGTAACATGATTCAAATTATAGTGTTGAATGATAATATTTCACAAGGTAAAGAAAAAAAAGCATTAGTTCTTTGTTTTATTTACAAATAAAATATTAGAATTTCTCTATAATTAATTTTTTTTTTTTATATTTCAGTTCTTTAAAGACTAAAGATCTGTGGCAGCAGAAGCTTTTACAGTAAGTTTGATATTTTTTTCTCCTAAATATTGCAGAACTTTTACTAAAAAAAGAAAATGTATAGCTCTAGTTTCATCTTTATATAGTATTTAAACGTTGTGAAATACTCTTGTAAAGCGTAAATATTTTCACTGCTGTACTCGCATTCAATAGTAGATCGTTAATAATAATTTGAAAAATATTATTTGAAAAAAAAATCCAATGTCAGTGTGTACAAAGTTAAATTTTTGCATTGCCTTCATACATAAGATATAAGCCCTAATGTTGGCGTTATAAAGTTAAAATTTAAAAAAGGAATTCATGCTTAAAATATCAATTATCTGTTTTGTAAAATTTGCAATCATGTGGTTAGCTTTAGTTTATAAAAACGTAATGAATATTTCTCATTCTTATTGTGGCAACAACTAAACTTTTTGATCATTTGAATTTGTTTATCTTATTGAAACGAAGGAAATAAAAACACATTTATCCTCAACCTAGCCTTACTAGATCTTTTGCTACAAGAGAAAATTTCATGAAAAGGTATTGAGTTATTTATTTGTGTGGAAAATCTCTTTTAAAGAAAGCCAGATTGCTTTGAATTAATTATGGGCGATTGTGTCGAAATTCAAGGTAATCCAAGTACTAATTCAATTGCACGAAGTGATGGTGAAACCACTAATAAATCAGTTAACAATCAAGAGGATGCCAACGCCATTAATGATATAGATTGCTTACAATGTGCAGCTGGTATTGAATCTCGCCAAGGCGATGTTGCTCAAAGGGCTCAACGACGACATTTTCCAGAAAAAGCCACCAGCACTATTTTTGCTCCTGTTCACTCGGACAATTCTTTTACTACAAACCGTGAAACTAATGATTTTAAGAAGAAAAAGAGTATATGGACCAATTTGAATTGAGAAAGATTTGATGCTTTTGTTTCCCTCTTGAAGCTACTTAAATAGCATAACGCCAAAATATCCGCAGTCTTTCCAAACAAGAGACTGTCTTGTCATCTATGATTTTTTTTATATATTTTCAAGCTATATCATTGTTATAACCTTACAAAAATTCTTATTACGATGTTCTAAATTTAAATGCAATAAAACATTTATAAAGGTCTTAAATTCCTTTTTTGCTTTTTAACATTTCTACACTACATTTATACTTCTCTGTGAAAAAGGAAGAGCATTGAGTTAGTTATACGATTAGTCCAGACGAGTATATAAAAGAAAAAGTAAAATTGCTGTTATCATTAGTTTAATTTTAGTTGGCTGGAATTTAATGGTAACCAAAGCGTTCCTTAATTCGCCAAAGGGATTATGTAATAGTAGTGCATCTTCTATATAAATATGAACTATAGTGCTGCGTAGAACAATTTAATTTTTATTGTTAAGAATTTAATTTGTATTGTATTTTTTATTTAAGACAGCGTTGTATATAATAGTAATAAAGAATGAACCAATAACCTTTTAATGGCCCTTTTTTTTTTCTTCTTCTTCTAAAATTGAACTAAATAACCACATTTTAAAAAATAAAACATTCGGGGTAACTTTTCATTTAAAAATCCGATTTTAATTTTCTGAGTTGCATCCTTCATAATTAATAAAGTTATTGTAAAAAAATAATTACGTTTTAAATAGTTTATTATAAATGTCATATTTGTAGGAAGTTTTATTTACTTATTTGTATATTTCTTTTATTTTTAAATCGGCCAAAATACGAAAGGTATGATGTGTTTGTAGCAAACACATATTGTATTGTATTCAATTGAATAAACATATTGTATTGTATTCAATTGAATACGGAACGGAAGTTATCAATGATCATGTTTTTGTGTTTTTCCGGCTTTCAGCGATTTCATTATAAGAGCTTAAAAAGAATTAAAATTCTATAGAATATATTTTTGTTCCATCTTTATCAATTTTCTTGCATTGTTAGTAATGCAGGTTATTCTCTTATTTTACTGGAACATAAATATTTTCTATGTGTTTCTTGTAATTATCATTATTATTATTATTTTTTTGGAAGTTTCACCTCCCGCTGACTTGTGAGTTTTCTTTGGTGTATTCTGTGAGTGTTTAATTGTAAGGTTTATATATTTGGGGGCAAACAGAATATATATTTCTCGGAGAATCAGGTGTTGTACGCTATGTCATTTTTTTATAACCTTCGCAATAAAAGCCACGTGGTACCTGAGAATTATTGAAACGGTGGCTCGTCTGACAACTCTTTCTTTACAGTAGCCTATTAGTAGGATTGAAGCCTGGATTAGCGTTGAAAAGATTTAGACTTGGTAAAATACACAACTACCACCAGACTGTGAAAATAGAATTTGGAATAATGTGGACCAAAAATAGACCCACGTGCTAGTAAATAAAGATCAAAATGGTCTAGAGAGAATATAGTAACAGAGGGACACCTGCATAACACCTTCTTTTATGAGTTTTCTATGATTTTATGAGCACTGTGCAACCTAAAAATTGTCCTTCCAACTTAGACGCCCTATAACATTTAATGCAGGTAAAATAGAATAAGAATGTTGCTTGCACATCTGTTAGTTATAAATAGAATAATAACAAAAAACGAAAAGAATATTATGATGAGAATTAATTACAAGAAAGAGAAAATTTACGATTATGATGTTGAAGTTGGTCTAGTAGCTGAAGTTGATCTAGTCGAAAGAGCACGGATAGGAAAATCCTAAAACAAACATATTTTCTCAATGAGTATAAGAAAAAAAAGAAAGAAGCACGGTCTGTAAACACCAAAATCCATTACAGATTTGAAGAAGGGACGAAACTTAAATTGTCGCCATCCTGCGAGGACAAAGATCATAGTTGAAATGTTGCAGTATTCGTGTGCATAATTGGACTCCGGCTTGAATATGCGTGCAAATGACATAAATTGCATTTTTTTTAATGTTTTTTAGACGAGTATTTTAATTTGCTGAGACAGTGGATTTTACAAATTTTAACAGATTTTGATTCTGAACAACGTCAAATGTTAGTTACCTTATATATTTGATATTGGAAGGATTGTTTCTTCCTGCTTGTTGATCGGTAGTGACAAGACAACAGATAATTAATTTCATTCTCTTTTTTTTCAGGTTAATTGAAGAATCTAAAGAGAAAGAAGGAAAATCTCAAACTTCAATTCAGATATCATTCAGAAAACCAGACACCGGTGAAGAAATTGTAAGTTTACAGGATTCCTTATACCAAAGAATACTTACAGTATCGGTTTACATGCCCAATGATTTTAATTCGAACATTAGTTCTGATAAACTTTTATTTATTTTCAGTGCAAAACACTTAAAGTAGACAATAGACTCACCAGTCAAGATTGTATAAAACTAGCATTACAACAATTGGGTTATTTGGTTAGTAAATCTCTCTCATTCACAAAATTTTACATTATACCGTATTTATTAATTAATATTAATTAATTGTTTTTGTTTTTTCTTTTTAGGAAAATGGTATTAGGGATTATAAATTATGGGTGAAAACTGGAAAAGATGAAGCACCTTATCCTCTAATTGGTAAGGAAATAGTAGTGTGTTACTGACATCAAACAAGACATATTTCAGTATTTTTTGTCTTACAAAGTTAATGCCTTTAAATATTAACTATCTATGTACCTTTTTAAACTTTGTAAGATTTAGAATTGTGGTGACAAATTTCTCAATCTACCGCCATTTTATTTGTGATAATATAAAATTGGCCGTTAAAATATGATATCCTTTAGGGCTTTAAACTGCCTAATAAAAAAAATTTTTTTTTATCTATTCCTTATGCATAATTTTAATTGAACTACGATTAATTATGAGTTGATGATTTTAATCCAATGTGCAAGAATTTTCTTTTATTTTCGTTAAAAGTCCTAAAATGCTTTTATAT